CTTCTTATCTTTATTGGGTACAACTTTTTCTAAACCAGTTTCTTGTTTCTTTCTTTTCTGTGTCTCAAGTCCTCTTCTTTCTGCTTTAGATCTTGCTTTATCTGCAGCAAGAGTTCCTTTCAGAATATTCTGAATTTGAATTACTTTCTCTTTTATGATGAGAATAGTATCCTGCTCTGTCTTCTCACCAGCAGGTTCAGATGAAGTTGGTTCTTGTATAGGTGCTGGGACAATAGCACCCGCAGGAATCATTGATGTCTTGGGGCGAATTGCTAGTGCTCCAGGTTTTTTCTCTTCTTCTCCCCCACCCTTTACTGCTTCTGGTTTTACTTTAGTCTTTTTTCCTTTGATGAAGTTTGTGGCAGCACCTTTTGCAGCACCCTTTACAAGGCCCCCACCCATTGATTTTAGTCCTGCTCCTAGTAATGCTGGTAACGCCATATTATGCTAATGTCAGACCTAAGACTTTGACTTTTTCCATAGAAATCATTGCATTTGCATCGAGTTCTGGGAAATTATTTGCATTGCTCTTCATCTTGGAAGCACTATTAGCAGAAGAACCTTGTTGAGATCCTCCAGGCATTGGACCACCAGTAGGAGGAGAAGAGGTTGGTGGGGGTCCTGGAGGTGATTGGAATGATTTCTTACCTTGTAATGATGCAAATGTTGTTCCAGATGGAGATCGACCAGCAACTCCTGTCTTACCACCAGTGAGTGTGGCAATCCCACTTCCAATTTTATAATCTGACAACGATGCCATTGTTGTTCCAGATGGCGAAACTCCACTAGGTCCTCCGCCACCAGGAGGTGTATATGATGATCCTCCACCACTAAACGCGGTAATAGCTCCACCACCAGAGGTCTTATCATATTCGATTGGTTCTAATCTTGCTTGCTCAATAATTGCTCTTTCAGAAGAAGTTGCCTTATCGCTTGGGCCAATCCATGGAGAAATTCCTCTCTCCTTCATTAACTGAAGTGCCATCAAATCTTGAACTGC